GACAGTTCTATCAAATATTAAAAAAGTGGCGGAAAGTTCGACAGAACGTTAATATTTTAATGTAAAAGTAGAAATGGTGCACTACTGGTGCCTGGTGCGGCACTGGTGCACCCACCCTAATAAGGGCGTGGAAATTCCAGAAGTAGTGGAAATATACAAGGTATTAGGGAATCCCGCGGTATAGGTCATACACAAAATGTTAGATCTAAATAAATCCCCCTTCCCTAAATTTAACCCAATTTAAGCCTGATAATACTATTTAAGCAATGTCTTTAAAGTGCCGTGTTGATAGTCCTCGTGCAAATGCTCTTTGGAGTTGTTTGATATCAGTTCTCTTCATTTTGACATGAAATTTTGTGTTTGATCTTCTACCTACATATTGTGATATTTGTATTTTTTAATACACAGTTTGAAAGTTTCCTAATCTTTGGTAAGTTACTATTTTATTACATATTTTATATGAAAACCAAACTTCGTAGTGTAGTTACGTCATAATAACGGGTTGGTCAATATAAGCGGAGTCATAATAAACGGATTCTACTGTACATTACTTCATAATTAATATTCATTGTTTAAAAAAAATAAACGTGTTTGTTTGCAGGCGTAACCTCAAACAAAATGGGCAAACGGAAAGCGAAAACCGTTGAAGCCGTTGAGCTGATTCCGCCAGTAATCACTGAAGAAAATGGCGATCCTGAGGCAGAGATTGATTTGTTGGAGATTCCAAAAGCTGATTTGCAATTACTCTTACATGGTATCCAAAAATTGTTACCAGAGACTGAAAGTATCACTCCTAAGGCCAGAATTAAAAAACTGGACTGGGAAAAGGTAAAATACCCCAGATTCTGTGATAATTCTAAGTCTAAAATGTGAAATTTTTATTATACAGGTTGCATTTGGTGACTACACAGCCGAAAGATGCGCAAAGATCTGGGACGCGATCCAGAAACGACAAAGACAGTATCGCTACATGTCTGAACTCATCGAAGACGCTTTGGTATGGATAGACACACCCTGGCGAAGCGCGAAAAAGAAAGCCACCAAACAACACCCCGATTTTCCCAAGCGACCTAAACCTGCTTTTCTTCTATTTCTTGAAGATGCTAAAGCTGACATTATGCGCGAGACGAAAGGCGCGAAAATGACAGAAATCGCACGCATTGGTGGTCAAAAGTACCAACAACATTCCGAAGCGGCTAAACAAAGCTACTTGGACCGTGCTGCTGTAAGCATGCGCGAATACGAACGTAAAGTCGAAGAATTCTACGAAAAACATCCACAATTGGAGTTGGACATGGAGAAGAAGAAAAAGAAGACTGAAAAGGTGAAGAAGGAGAAAAGACAATCTGTTTCAAAACGTGATGAGTAAGTATTATTCATTATTCAATGAAACATTTTTTTTATGTAAAAAAAATAATTCCAGGACAATGCAAGTTTTACCACAGCACTGGTCAACAATGAGCAAAGACCATAAAAAACTTTTCGTGTATGCGCTGAACCGCCTTCGGGACCACTTCGAGACGAAGCTCAACGAGAGTGTACAAGTGGAAGAAAATGTACCTGGTGAGACTGCCGACGATGATGATGAAGATGATGACGAG